TACACGTACAGGGCACAGGATGAGGCAGAGCATCAGCGACTAAATCATTGCTGGGAGAAGACAATAATTGTGCTGAAATAATGCCTTGCTTGTGAAGAAATCCACCAGCTGTGGACATTTATTAGGCCAATTGCTGTAAAGTATTAATTGAACAATGAATTTGGCTCAGATATGCAGTGATGTTATTGCTCTGCATATGTATTTAAGTCAATCTCAGGGGTCTTAGAACAATAGTTTTACCCAAACTACTCCAAACTGACCCCTCAATGTAAGGTCAGTGACAAAATACAGCACTTGTGTGTTTAAAGAAAATACAAACAAGAATGTTAAAGTGTCTTAGGTAATAAAAATGAAAGAAGTCAGTGATGTATAGTTTATTTTGTTCTTTTTGTATTTGGACAATGGAAAATCTGAAATCAGATGAACAATTTTCTAATTGTGTTCTTAGGGCTGCTGTGTTTGGGGGTTTCTTGTCCTGCAGGGCAGTGTCTTAATTTAAATTTGTTCCATTGTCCTTGGAGGAGTTTTTTATTTTATGTTGGGGCAGTGGTTTAATATGGAAGTAGATATTTTGGTTTTAGAGTTTATCAATTCTTTTGCCATTTTCAATCTTTTTGCCCTATGTTGAATATCTTCAGGGGTTCTCTCCTTACAGCACTGAGTAAAGAGAAAGCAGAACTGAACCAAGCTAAGTAAAGAACAAGAGTTAGGCACTGACTTTTTTTTTTTTTTTTTTTTTTTTTTAATGGAAAATATATCACTATGATTGGCATGGCCACTGTTCAGTTGTAGGTAGATACATTCTCTGTGCAAGGTGTGTTTTTCATAAACTGGAACCTAAGTAGGCACCACTATTGTCGGCTCAATGCCCGTATTGCTTTATAGGCAGCAAATGTAAGAACTGCAGCTTCACCTTTCACTGGACTCCAGCACTGAATTATTTACAAAGGAGCTGACTAGAGCTGAATGGGCTGCTCTGCCATTGAGGCTTCCTCCAGAATTTAAGATACAGTGTTCCCCAAGCTCAGCAACACCTCCAACTTCCGTGCATTTTCATTTCTCTCATGTTGCAGGAAAGAAAAAATCCAAATTTCAGACGTTCAAGAACTTCTTTGCCAAGAAGAAAAGGAAAGAGCCTCCACCTCCCAGGGGAGAGAGTAATTTAAAACCCAGCCAGTCCAGCAGCGATGTCAGCGTCCCTGTGCTCGGCGCTGCTGCGCTGCGCCCGCCGGAGGAGGCTGGGTAAGCTGGGGGGAAGGAAAAGAAAGAAATAAAAGCGGACCTCTCGCAGCAGTAGGATGAAAGCATGAGCTGGCCCCTCAGGAGCAACTTCTGTCCAAGTTTGTGCAAAACAAGCCCTAATGCTGATGAAGGAATTCCAGGAATTTCCTCTTTCTTTGCCTGGAGAGGAGGGGGAGGGCAGCCGGGGCAGGGGGGATCCAACCTCTTAGTCTGAAACTGCAGATAGCCCAGATTGTTTTAATTGGGTTTAGTGCTTGAAGTCTGTACTGAAAGGTCTGAGCAGCAGCAACTTTAAGAGAAGATGATGGTTGAGTAGTGCTAGTACAGAGAACACATGTCGAGTCGAGTTGCTATTTTACAGCATAAATGGTGGCCTCTGCCGTGGCTGGGCTAAAGGGAAAGAAGTTTTGGTGTATTATCAGCATGACATTGCTCCTTTAACTTTCTTATGTAGCCATTTAGGGATAGATAACAACTGAAAGCCTCTAGTTTTGTGTCAGCTACCTCTGCAGAGCCGTGAGTGAGGTTTGCAAGTCCTTAAGGTGTGTCCTGAGGAATTCTCAGATTGCTGAATGATGTTGATTCAAAAACTTGTCCTTTTTTTTTCAGTTAGTGCAATACAAGCACTTAACTTGCACTGCTAACTCTGCTTCACTGGTAACCTCAGGCCATGAAGCTACACAAAACTTCCACTTCACATCTCTGAATCTGGGGTAGGAAAAGCCTCTGGACATGGTGATGTCTCTCACCAGTGGTGTCACGGATCAGTATCTGGCAACATATAATTTGGCTGTTTTCCAACTCTTCAGCCTCCTCATACTCTTCTTTTAGCTACTCAGCCAAAGGCCTCTTTTCAGAATAGGCTAAACCTTGGGTTGTGGAGCTGCAGACTAAAGAAGTGTGGCAAAACACCAGCCACATCCTATGGTTTGCAGATTTTTGTTGGAGGGGACATTGAGCAGGTGTGACTCTGACAGAGGGCATGAATAGGTGACAAGGGACATGCTGAAACCATCAATTATCATTAAAGTCTTTGTATCATGAAATAAGGCATCTGGTGGAGCCCAACACCACTTTTCTTCCAGTGTAACAGTTTATAGATGTTACTTTCTCATGGGTGCTTGTTCCTCCTTGCCCCATCTTCCCCACTCTCTCTGTTGTGTTTATGCAACTGTATCATGGAAGTGATCTGGGAATGGAACAACCATCTCTTTATTTTGTTTGTTAGCATAACAGCAGCAGAGTAAGTGACCACACAACCAATTCCCTGGGGTAAGGGGAATTAGAGTCTCTGACTCAGCTAACCCAATTCAAACAGCTTGGGAACAGCTGAGCTTACCCCATCAGCCCATAGGAGGGACCTTAAAAATCAGCTTAAAATCAGCTGTTGGCTTCTGCAGCAATGTGGGTGCAAACTCTTTCTCTTGCCTTCAACCAAGTACTTCATGTCCAATTGCTGTTTCCCTCAGCACAATCCTCCAGTGATTATGAACTGTTTTGCAGGATTGGAGATCAGGAAGTGAGTAACAACCTTCTGTTTTCCCCTTAAAGATAGGATTAGATGGACTATCAAAAAAAGTTGGAGGATATGTTTGTCCAGACACTGCATGGCATAGGCATGCTTTGTAAGTAGCCAGAGAGACTGAACAACATAATCCTTTGGGAAAACCTGATGCTCAAAGCCAGGGGAAATACATCTTGTGAAAGGTTTATAAGGAGTCCTGAGCTTTGCAATTTCTGGCACTCAGAATATCAAAACCAATCCTAGAACAATGCTGCTGTTTGTTTGTTCTTGAGGCAGAAGCAGTGGTTTGCTTTTTTTTTTTTTTTTTAAACCACATAATATTTTAAAAATTTAACTTTTCTGGACACTAACCAGAGACGAAACCCCAAGATGTGCCAAATGCTTCTTATAGCAGGCAAAGGGTTGTGCTTAGAAGACAAGAGGATGTAGGGAATCAATCTGAGCTGTAAGTTTTGAATGGAAATTGAAAAATCTTGATGGGAAACTTGCAGCATGTGCCATGGACAACTTTCTGTTTGTTTCATCAAAAGGATACAAGACCTGACAGAGAGGAAAATTGGGTCCCAAATAGCCTTGTTCCAGTTAAAAAGCTTTGAGCAGTGAAAGTCACTGGGACAATATCTAAAATTGTTCTGGTCTTTGTAATGAGCACTCACTCTTTTGGCAGGCTGCAGTTGTTTTTGAGAATGGCTGCCCAAAGGAATTGTGTCACCTTTCCTCCCCCTGCCTCAAACACTAATTAAAGTTGCAGCAATAAGAAGTGGGAGATATCACAGGCCATGATGAGCTCAGGAGTGGCTTTATTGCCGGCTGTAGAGTCCCATCATTTCCTCAGTCAGGGCAGCTCAAGTATTGTGACACATGAATGAATTGAGCATTTGAATAGGGAAATCAGGGTGGAGTCACATTAAGTAAAAGATCTGAGGCTTTAGCTCTCAGGGCATCTTTACCTTCAGCACAAATACAGATAAACTGCCTGGAATTACACATGAATGTGTATTTGCACATAGGAGACTCGTATACGAAAGCTACAGTTCATTTTATATTTAATCAAATGCTCTTATTCTGACTGCCAGAAGAAAATCCATTAATTCTCTTGCAAACACTTGATACATAGAGAGAGAGAGATATGTTGTAAAGGCAGTCTCAAGAACAAGGAAGCCTCAGCACTTATTGCTAAAGAATTCCAAGTAAAGGTATTAAGGAAATCCCCAACTGAAAAGGTTAATGCATCTTAATGCACATGCATTTCTTGCAGTACATAAAATATGCCAGCTAATAATGAATATACATTACAGTAAATAAGAGTTGCATGACACTTTCTGAATGCAGTAAAATTATGTATTGCACATATGGAGTGTCTTCCCTGCCAAAAAGGACTCTGACATCAAACACACAAAAAAATGAGATGACTTCATTCCCTCTAATGATGAAATAAGGCAAGTGCCTTACTTGTGTGTAGGACAGCTTTCCTTATATAAGCCAACACAGACATTAACTGTTACAAATGATGGGAGGAAACATGAGCTCTGCCCTGTGCTCTGAGAGAAAGAGCTCAGATTGTTTTAGGTACAACATAAACATAGAGCAAAATTATTTTCTCCTACTATGAGATTTGGCACAACTGTGTACTGATTGAGTACACCTTTGGGGCAGCAGGAGGGTTAGTTGAGCAGACAAAGGAGATGTTGTCTCTGCAAATGTAAAGAAGGGAGATGCAGGAGGAAAAAGAGTAATTTATTTGGGTTTTTTTACCTGGTGTATTTGCTTTATGAAAGTTCACAGTATTTCAGGGCTTTCTTCTAAATAAAGAAAGAATCTGAGGTTAGACAAATAGCAGAGACCTACTCTATTTGATTTCCTTGCAGAAGAGTGGTAGCCTTACTAGTTTTTAATTGCCAGAGTTCTGTGCCTGATCACCCCTGTTACTCAAAGTCAAACTTGGACTGCACCTGAGCCAAGGAATCCTTGTAACCTGTGGGATACAAGACTGGCAGCCAACAATGTGACAGTATTCTCTGTTGCTTCCCAATTAAGTCCTAGAATTAAATCCTGGTAGAGGCCATCCTTGTGGTCTTACAGAAAAAGCAATGTACAGACAGTGCCTGCTTACACTGGTGGAACTTGAATAAAAGGTTTGGAGCCTTCCTTGTTGTGCTACCCAAGTGCAAAACTTGCCCTGTGCAATGTAGTAGCCCAACCCAAATCAACCCCAGTTGTTTACAACACAGTTAATAACTTGTGGGAACTCATCAGTGCTTCACTGGGCTGAACACCCAGTGAGCACAGAAGCAGAGCAGGAATATCTTCCCTGGGTACCTCAGCTTGGCCATGGATAGGTATGTAACTATGTCTCTGGACACTTGTCCCATCTACATTTTTTAACAGGCAAGGGATCTGATGATGTTAATGATACCATTGAACAGAACTATTTTTATTGTTGGACCTCAGAGGGTTTGATTCACGTTTGTTAATGTAGTGGACTAACAATTTCTGCCCAAATTTGCAAGAAGGAGGAAAATAGTTCACAGTCTTTGGCACGTATGACACACACCAGTGTATCCTTACTGTCTCATGCCAGGCACATTCACACCAAAGGAGGTACATGCAGAAAACTGACTTTAAACAGAGCTACTCACTAGTAACTAGTGATAGGGTAAGAGGAAATGACTTCAGGTTTTACCAGGCAAGGTTTACATTGGGTGTCAGGAAAAACATACAGAAGGGGTTGTCAAGTGCTGGAATGGGCTGCCCAAGGAGGTGGTTTAATCACCATCCCTGAATGTGTTTGAAAATCGTACAGATACAGTGCTTAGGGACATGGTTAACAACGGGCTGGGTCAGTAGAATTAGGTTAAAGGTTGGATTTGATGATCAGGTCTTTTCCAACCTGACTGATTCTGTGATTCTCTAAGATGCATTCCACCCTGACCTCTATATGGTCACTCTGCCATGGTGAAGTAGTGCAGAGAAGTGTTGGAGGACTTAATGCAGTGCATTGACTGCTCTTCCTTCCGTTCTTCCCAGGCCCAAAGGAAGCATGGGAAACAAAGCCTTGTCCCATGACAGTGTCTTCATTTTTGAGTCTGCAGCAGGAAATGTGGCAAGCAACAAGTTATCTCAGGAAAGCATACCTGGAAGAGTGAAAACTTTGCAGGTGAGGACATCTTCCCCTCATTCATGGTGCTGCTTTGTATTAGCTGTCTCTTGGGAGACTCTGTTGCTTGATTCCTTTGCTGAGTGCCTTAAGACTTCGTTGACTAAAGAGTCCAAAGCCAGACTTATTGCTTTTGGATCTATTCTGTCTCTTGGAAGCTGCATCTCTGAGTAGTCCTGGTGCTTTCAGCCTTGCCTGGGTCTCATAGTGTGTGAGTAACATTAGTCCAGTTGATAGACTCTTTGAAACTTTACTCAATCAGCATGTCTTCTTCCAATGGGATTTCTTCTCTCTGCTTTATCACTACTGCTGTTGGGTTAAGGCCATTTATTAATACTGTAGCATGTCCCTTACACTGTTATTCTTTGTATATTATTTATGTTATTCTTTTTGGCAATGTTGGGTATGATATTTCCACTGTACATGGTACCATCAGTGGCTGTGAAGGTGTGGGGGATGCAGGGTATGTGAGGGCACTCCTGGTGACAGCTTTATTTATATCATGATTCCTTCGATCTCTGCCAGCAAAGGACACTGTATTCTGCTAGGTCATTTCCTTCTTCCAAGGCATATATTGAACCCTCCTTGACAGATCCCTTATCAACTGTTGGTTATATTAGTTGTAGCTCAGCTCAGAGTGCTGAGATGAAGTTTAACATTTTTCCAGAGACTCGAAACAAACTGTTGATAAGGCAGCCAAAGGCCATTGAAATTCTTCCTTTGCTCAGTGTGAACTTCATATTGCAAAACACAATTGCATCACATGTTAAGTAATAAAAGATGCAGAGGGACTTGTTCCTCCCTAAGACTGCAAAATAGGCTAAGCTTCAGTCCAGGGTATTTTTTTATATAACAATGGGAGTAGCAGGAGAAATCATGTTTATATATGACCAAACTTCACTGGGGAAAAAAGGCTCTTTTCATGTTATCTGCAGTCCACTGTGCCCTCTCTTCATCCATCCATCATCCTGCATGGTAATGTAATACTGCCAGCTCTATTTTTATAGCTATAGAAGTCAGCCTTTTTCTGTGAGCTTGACCCTTGTCAGAATAAAAGCCAAGCACTAATTAAAGCTGTTATTTTCTTAGCAATGTAAATTAACTTCTACCAGTAGAAGACAGATTATAAATTCAGAATTTCCCCCACAACACTTTGCTGTCTGCATGTAATAAATTTAATACATAAAAAATGGGAAGTTGTGAGAAGAAGGAAAAGCAAAATTTACTTTCTATATTTTCCTTCCCATGAAGTGCACAGGTATGTTGGTCTGGCTTGTTTTACCCATCTATTGCAATCTTTGTGTAGTTTGTCATCAGTCCTGCTTCTGCAGATTATATTGGTGACACTTCTTTGATTGCTGTGAGAGGCCAGGAAAACTGTTTGAACTGGGGCCTGGCAGATTAAAGGGTGACACTGTGTCCTGTGTGGCTGTTAGATCTATAGGAATTACATTCCAGGTGAATCTTGCTGAATAAGAATGGCAACTGTTCAGATCTCTTTGACAGAGATATAAATGAATACATAGCTTGCAGAAGAATACAGAATTAGGCCTAGAATTTCCCAGTCTGGTTTAATAAGCAAAGAAACAGGAAAAAAAAAGCCTGCATATTTATCTTGGGAATATCTGATTGAAACGTTTTTAGTTGAAGTACAAAGTTTCTGTTCAGACTTGTATCTGTTCCAGCTTTGACATGGCTGACAGACTTAAGCCAAGAATTTTAGTAATGGTGTTTCCTGGGATCTGAACTTTTTTATTTTGAAGAAACATCTGGCTGCTTGTGAGGTTGCAGACTTTGTTTTATTTTGCTCGGGTCAGGGCCTGCCAGAGGATTCTTTTGTGCAATCTTGGAAAAGAACCACCACATTTCTTTGGAAAGTTGTTCCTGGCTGCTGTTGTCATTCTTGCTGTAGACAGGACCAGGATATGATGCTGGGAAAATTAACAGGCCATTCATTAGGGTGCATCAGAAATCAAATGAAGTTGTCATGGTATATAAAGTGGGACTCAGCTGCTTTTGCAGGAGAGGCTGATTACAAGCTCTCAATATTTGGAAGGACTTTGTGTAGGACAGCTGACCACATAAACCTGGGGCTAGGAACTGCTGGCTGACAATACTTTGTGTAACTATTTGGGACATCCAGATATGTGTAATTATTTAAAGAACACTTAAGTCTAGAATTTTTAAAGTTTTAAATTTAAATTGAGTTAAACTGCTGTCAATTTTCTGGAATGGTAAATTTTCTGCCTTTGGTAACTTACTGAATAAAACTTTGATTTTCATTTTGTACCAAAGCCAGTTCTAATGATGGGTCATTGATGAATGCAACTAAATGAAATTTTACTAATGGCTTTTCTCTGTAAATGGCCTGTTTCTTCAAGTATTTCTGTTAACTAAGACATTCTGCATGCCTTATGGGAGCAACTGGGGTGAATGTGTCCAAAATGTCCCTTATTAATAATGCCATATAAGGATATATTCTAAATTCCTTTTCAACCACAGCTTCAGTTGCAACAGAACATCAGACTTGGATCACCTCCTCTTGTTATAGCTGGGAAGAAGCTAGAAGATGCAGGTGCTGTTTCTGAAGATGATGGTTTACCTAGAAGCCCTCCTGAAATTTCAACCCTTCATGAAGTTCTGACAGATTCACCAAGCAAGGTATAGTTATTATGTCACTTTAGTGACCATGATAAAATCTGCTTGAAGAAGAGGGAAGACCTTTTTGATTGCTTGTGATAAAATCTGATGGTACAGATCAGTCAGAACCTGAACAAGTCTAGGTGTGGGATACTTAGGAAGTGACCTTAAAAATACCCCTCTGAGTACAATTTTCCATGCTTTTATGTAACCAGTGCTGGGACAGTAGTGACCAATTTCGTTAGGTAAAGAGGAGATAAGTTCAGCTGATGTGCCACCCCTCAGTGCCTTTGGGCAAGGCAGTCTCCTCTGGCAGGTCTGCATGGCAGAAAGCAGAAAAAGGGTGAGTGTTGTGTTACTGTGACTGTTCCACTTCCAGTTGGGAACAAGCTGAGGTACTTGCAGTGCACAAACAAACTTATCATGTCTTCCAGCTTCAGAAAGATGCAGAGATTGGCAATTTCCTGCATCTGTGAAAGGGGAGGAGTTTTGGGGTGTTTTAAAGCTGGTGAGAAAAAACAAAAATAATGAGGATTGCAAGAGAATCTTAATCAGTGGTTTTGGAATTAAATACCTCAAAGTCAGGGCAATATTAGTTGAATTGACAGGAAAGGGACAATCCTAAGTCTGAGGTTAACAGATCCTGATGGGACTCAGAGGAGGTTGGGTTATCTTCTTTATTAGGAATTGCCTTCTCAGAGCAGATGCATGATTTTGGACTTGAGTGAGCATATGAGCATTTATAAAATTTATGGTCTTACAACAATAAGCCCAAATAACTTTATAAAATGTATTGTCTCATGTGATCAACCCTCATGGCATATCTCGTAACAGGGTGAAGTTCTCCTGCTTTATGTTTGGTCCCCAATGAGCAAACAAAACCTATTCTGTGAAGCAGTGACTCAGTGACCCCTCCTTTACCTTTCCTCTTGTGTTTTCTCATGGTTAGCACTGGATAGCCAGTCCCAGATAATTCAATGTGACTTTTCCCCTGACTTACCCTCTTCCTTATTTTATCCCACAGTCCTCCAACCCTGTTCAGCGTCATAGCTCTTTGAGTTTAGGCGGGACAGACAGTGAAGATGAACAGGTAAATAGCTGCTTTTCCTGCTAATGAACTTTCCCAAGATGGCATAGGTGGTGTCTGTGTGGAGCCAGTACAATTATATTGTCTTTTTAATTAGTTCTGTATCTTAGCAAACAATTAATGAACAGTCCAGAGTGATGCAAATGATACTGAAAATGTACCTCTCACAGAGTTTTGAATAAGAGGCAGAAATAGAGGCAGAAATCTACCTATAAGTGGTTTGTGTGTGCAGCATAATCAGCTCTGTGACACCATATGGATCTATAAGGTTGCACAACAGAAAGTTGGACAAAGCAAACCACTTCAGTTTCACTTCTGTGTCCCAGAGCCCCAGTACTCAACAATAATAATGTCTTAATAACACCTGCCTGTCACTAGTGGCCTGTGAGCAATGCTCTGCGTCTCTCTAATCATGGTAGACAACAAGAAAAGCTCTGTGTTCATTTGCAGTTGTCTTTGGATGATAAGTGACCAGCAGCAGCAGGTTCTGCTGTCAGAACAACACAGTCTATTCCTTGACCAGCTCAGAAAAATATGAAGAGTTCATTTTTTTGGAGAGGGACCTGGAGGACCTCCACCTTGACTGTCCCAGCTGCCTGAAGCTGGGTTGAGTTCTTGCCCAGCTCATGCTTTCAAGGCAGGCCTGCAAGGTTTGCTATATTGCCTTTCTCCAGTGTTAACACAATGTCTTAAAGACCAGGCAGACCACAGATATCCCAATGGGGTCTTCAAATGCCTGTAAGAAAGGCAACCACCACTCCAACAGGGCTGATTTGATTTGGAGGGTAGCCCTTGCAATTGTGTAATCATAGAATCTTAGGTGGTTAAGGTTGAAAGGGACCTTAAAGATAATCAGGTTCCAACCTCCCTGCTATGAGCAGAGACACCTCACACTAGACCAGGCTGGACAAACCTCATCCAACCTGGCCTTGAACACCTCCAGGGAGGGCACTTCCACAACCTCTCTGGGCAACCTGTTCCATCACCTTGCTACCCTCATGATGAAGAATTTCTAAATCTCCCCTCTTTCAGTTTACTACCATTACCCCTTGTCCTATCCACTACCTCCTCTCTGGTGAAAAGCCTCTCCCCAGCTTTCCTATAGCCCCCTCAGATACTGGAAGGTGCTATAAGGTCTCCCCTGAGCCTTTTCCAGGCTCAACAACCTGAGCTCTCTCAGTCTGTCTCATAGCAGAGCTGCTCCAGCCCTTTGGTCAACTTCGTGGCCCTTCTCTGGACCCTCTCCAACAGCTCCAGGTCTTTCCTGTGCTGAGGGCTCCAGAGCTGTATACTGTACTCCAGGTGTGGCCTCACCAGAGCAGATGTGTCACCAATGTAAGTTCTCAGGCACTTCCACATTTATAAATAGCTACTTTCTGAGTAATCTAAAGCAAAGTGTGAGGCTGTTGCTCAGAGCGAGCAGCAAATAACTTCACAGAGACATTACCCAGCCTTGCCCTGCCTCAGCCAGATAGCCTTCATGGAAACCTTACTTCCTTGTTGGCATCTTCAACCCAGACTGATTAAAAGCAAAACAGGGTCCCAGCTTGTGGAGCTGAGGACAGTGCTTTGGCACAAACACTCTTTAGGAAGTGGGCCTCCCAGCTGCAGGATTCTCCTTGGGCAAGCTCATGTAACTGTGCAATAACCAACAGACACCAACTTTATCATACAGTTAAACACTGTTGGGGACATCCTGTCTCTGCTCCACTGTCTTTGAGAGGAGATACCAACTGTCAGTTAGTGCTCAGAAAGAAAAATATCCTGAAATCCTTAGTGGAGTAGGGAATTTGTCATATATGTATAGAAGTAGCTCAGGTACTAGCTTCAGTTGTTTTTATATTAAATAAACACAATTGTAATTTTATAATTGAAAGCCAGAAGAACTTGTATGTAGAACTGAGTTACTAAAAAATGTTACTATTTTTGTAAATTCTAGTGATGCTTAGAGGTTTATCATTAATCTTGTAGAACTATAACAATAATTATCTCATTTACCAACTGTGTTCTACTTTCTCTCCTCCACAGTGTGTAAATTTTTCCAGAGAAGAGTCTCTGTCTGTCATAATACATTTGTTGTGGTGTATTTCAGATCTAGGGACTTAAAAAAATTCAGTGGAGAACAGGGAAATTAGTTTTAGGTACCTTGAACACAAAATAATGTACCTGAACAATGTTTGTAGATGAGACAGGAAGGGACTTTCATTATCTTTAAAACTTCATCAGCACATGTTTTAGTTGCTGTGTTATACCCTAAGCTTAGACAGTGCTAAAAGCTGGATGCAGGGTGAAAGGGCTGTTTCCCCTGGCTTCCTGGGCAAAGCCAAACCTGCAGGTGTGTTACACTGAGTGATGTTTCTCTGGCGTGTCTGTGAAATTCTGCGAATGTTCCAGAAAGTCTGGTCTGCGTTTCAAAAAGTAACAAAACCAGTCAAACTGCATGTTTGGGGGTTTCTCTACAAACAGTTCTGTAAACCCTCTTTTTTTCCCCAAAAAATCTGAGGTTACTGCTGTTTAGCTCCCCACAGCAACTCTGCTGAAGGGTGAGATCCACAGCACTGTCTGGGAGATGGTTCTGGGATGTTAGTTGGAGAGAAGCATTTTTTTTCCCAAGGGGACTGGATAATAAAAGAGCTAAGTGGCTATGGCAACTTTTTTAGAAATAGAGATAATGAGGAGCAAGTGTCCATGCTACTTTCGTGTTTTTTTAACGACACATCCCTGCGGCTTGTCGCGCTATAGGGATGAGAAGGCAGCGGTAAGAACTGCACCAGTGTCTCCTGCTGGTGCGTGCACATATTGCAAATGGGTTTTCAGGTAAGAGCTGGGAAGGGGACAGCTGAGGCTCCTCCTGTGGGAAAGGGAGAGACAGGTTTTCCTCACTTTTGTGTAACATACAGCTCAACACACAGAATTGAGTAATCTCAATGCAGAGACAACACCACGCATGCGTTTTAAGGTGAGGATTTGTGTCCAAAAATACAGCCATTTTGGGCATTTTACTAGCAAAGGAATTGTTTCAGAGATGTGGAGAAGCTAAGCAAAAAGTAAAGTGTCTTGTTTGTTTTACAGATACCTTCTGGAGCATCCTCCAGGCCCATCAGTCCTTCATCCCCAGCCACTCTGGGAGCCCCCAGCTCACGAGGCAGCACCTTCCTTCCTGTTGACTTCACCATCCCTGCCAGTCCCCTTGGCTGCCTGGACACCTCAGCAGCCCGGCACAGGATTGCCCTGAACCCCCGGAAACAGAGAGGCTTCACCAACAAGAATCAGCAAACCTCCCAGGTGAGTGTTTCCTGGGAAAGAATCACCGTGCAGAAGGAACTGGATGGGAATTTTTAGTTGCTATTTTAAAGATTTTTAAAATTTTTTTTTTTTTCTTTCCTATTGACATTCGTTTACTTTTTTTTTGTTGTTGTTCTTTCATTGGAAGAAGGGAAACCACCTATTTTCTACCAACCAGCCCAACAAAGAATACTCAGAAAACTTCAGTGTTGCGGAAGCTGAAGAAACGTGCAAATTTAGTTTTCCGTTATTTAGTAAAAAAAGTTGCAGGTCACATTTCATTTGTAAAAACATTCCTCCTGCTTGGAAGCTATTTTTCAGTTTTTGAGAAGCCTGAGTCTGTTTCTACAATCTCTGCTGGATATTCTTTGTGCAGCAGCTGGTACAACTACAGTGCTGGAGGAGAAAAACTGATTTTGTCTCAATCAGAGATACCAAAAGTGATGATAATGTCTCTGGCTTGGTCTATGCCACTGGGTACCTGAGGTGACGTCTTAAAATCATTCTTGTTCACTCAGAATAGGTCAATCCCAGAATGTTTCAGATTCAAGAGAGGTCAATAGGCTGCCTTTGGCATTTTAAACATTAATTCTAGTTTCTTAATTGGAATAGTACATCACCCACAGTGTTGGTAAACTACAGGATGGGGGGGTATGTGTCTATGTTTTAAGTATCCATAAACATATATGTGCATAAAATACAGTTTTTGTGCATTATTCTTTAAAACATCTTACTGCTCCTCATTAGGTGGAACAGCTGGAAAATGAAGCATGTCTTCCTGCAGTCCCAGAAAAGAAGGGAAATTCAACAGAATTACTTGAAAGTGACGAGCATAGAAGTGAGTGGGGAGGTAATGCAGTTTTACATATTGCTCCTTTGGATGCTTGAACTCCTCTACATAAGGCTGACAGGACCTATTTGAATTGTAAGTTCTTTCAAATGAGGCATCTTGTGGTTTAATAAAACCAATCCTGGCTACTGAAGTGTTACGGTGGAAGAAGCTGTGTACTCCACTCCTCATGGTGGTGCTGAAACTGTGAGCTTTAAGGGCAGCATTAAAAAAATACAGGGGGTGAAAGTACCATGCTCAGAAGTGCTTGTGCTACACAGTTGCCTAGATCTCGTTGGCTGGAGATCCAAGTTCCTTGAAACTCAGAAAAACCCTGGCCTCAGCATTACATCTGCTATGTGTGTAAGGTTACTTCAATTTGCTTGTGTTTGCTAGATCTTCCTTTGCTACCTTCCCCCTTATAATTTGAGTAACAGCCAATTACCAGTGGTAACACATTTGTAATTGTAAACTGTAAAAACAAATTATATTTCTCCAAGACAGCACTGAAGACTTTCCTTTTTAGCATTGCATTACAAATCCACTGGCTGATGGTAACACTTTAATGTGGTGGGAACGTTAGTACTTTGTTGTCAGGGCAGCCTCACAGCCTGATCCTGTCACGCATCAGAGTTACTGTGTGTGCAGCCACACCTAAGCTATCCAGATGTTCAGCAACCCTGCTGGAGCTGCAGGAGGCAGAGCTACCTGATGCTGAGATGTTCTGCTTAAACATAGAGAATCCTTCAGATCATTCTAGACAGCATTTCTAGGCACACAGATGAAGAAATGTTTAGGGAAATCTGGCTAGAGGTTGTACAATAGGGCTATGCACAGAAAAGAAATAAACAGCAGCAGATTTGGTACAGCTGAAGCATAAAACAACTTTGTCATTCCCAGGATTAGGTATGTTCAAACTAAAGACTTGATCAGTCCTTACTTGGACAGCCCATTTCTAAATATGCTCTTAAGAGCCTTAAATTATCAAACAACAGTGGTCAGACGTGGGGAATTCGTGATAAACGACTGCACTAGCTGGAATGAGTTACTGATACAGATGGTGCTTGAATTGTAACCTTTAAGTGCACACTTTTCTCTGTTTAATACAGGATTATCAGCCCAGGTGGGACATTGTGCAAAGGGAGGCAGTTCTAAGGAGGCACCAGGTGTAAAAAGTCCCACTGATACTGCCTGTGACTTTTGTGATTCCACACTTGTGGTGGAAGACCCTTGTGCTTTGCTGCAAGAGGATGCAGGCTTTCCAGACATGGACCACCAGTGTAAAGCAGCTGCACCCCTTCTGACACCTGAGCCTTCCCCAGGGTACTTGGAGGAACACCACAGTGCAACAGGGTCATACTGTTCAGATGAGTCTGCTGATGACTTGAGATTGCACCAGCAAAATTCCAGCACTGAAGTATCTGCACTTCCAAAACAAATTGAAGGAGAAACTGTTGTATTTCCAGTTGTACTACCAGCTGACCTGTTTAGTAATGGTGTGGAAAAAGAAGGCATGGATACATTGGCAGATGTTGCACAAAGGTCCTCAGTAAATTCTGTGGACCTGAACATGAAAGACCAGGAAAAGGGGGATGCACTGTTTATTGGCAGAGTAGAGGCCTGCTTGGGTACTTTTGAGAATCATTCCAACCACACTGTCTCAGATACTGCACCAAGCACTGCACAGGTTGTGGGAGCCAATTCAGAGTCATCTTCTGACATCAAGACAGTGACTGTTTTGAAGCTTGAAAAGGGTTCAGTAGCAAGAAATGACAAAGAAGCTTGTGAAAGAATGGAATTTCAGCCATCCAAAGGCAATGCAGGAAGAAAAATAGAGACTGCTGCATCTGTCTGGGAAGCAGGTTGTGTGCTACCTCCCAGTACCTTGGAAGCAGGTTTTAAAGCAGAAACTGTGTCTGTTTCAATGGGTAACCAAGGCAGTCAACAGGCCAACACACCGTACACCTCTGAAAAACCTTCTGTTGGATATCTTGCCTCTTCACATTTGACTGGCTTGAAGAGTAATATCTCTTCCAGTGATGCCAGTAAGGAGTACCAGGTAAGCAGTGCAGCTTCTCACAAGAAAACTGTGGAAGACAGTCAGTGTTCAGATGAAAATGTGAAAAGTCCACTGAAGACTGCTTCTGCTAAACCAGTCAGATTTACCATTGCACCAGCATGGCAAAGGTCTCTCTCAGGTGGTTCAAATTCAAAGGAAGATTCCTATTCCAGAAGTTCCCCAACGTCCCCTGTAAGATCAGAGTGGTTTGAAGGAATGACAAAAGAACACACACGTTTTGAAGCAGTCATCCAGGAATCAGCAAAAGCCAACTCAGGTAGATTAGATCAAGATTGTAAGGACAGTGATTTGCCTTTCAGTGCTTCTATGGAGTGGGCTGACCATGAAGTACAAAATGTTGAAAACCCATTTGGGGTCAAACTAAGGAGAACATCATCTTTACTGAAATACCAGAATGAAAGATGTGCTGAGTCTCCAAAGCTGATCCCCTCAGCTGTTCCCACTGCATCTTCTACTTCAGTCAAGGAGGATCAGAAATTGGTGGACAATGGGAAGCCATCTCCAAGGCTTCCTGTCAGCACAAAATCATGTGTTAAAAAAACAGATCATCTAGAAGACAAAAATCCTCCCAAGACAAGAGCTGAAGAAATGACAAAAAAACAAAATGGTCATAAACCTTCAGGTATTTATGCTGTATTTTTATCCAAACATTCTAGGAAAACAGTGGTCATAAGAACCTTGGCAGAGTGGAAAGTGAAAGATAAAAATCCTCTTGATGAGGACCAAATTCAGCCTCGAGTTTGTCAGCACCACCATTTAATTGGCCTTCATGATTTGGCCAGTCAAGAGAATTCTTGGCTTATCTTAATGAGGGGTGTGTTCCAGCAAGAATAACAACAGAGTAAATAGCTTAAGGGCCTTTGAAGCATTTCTGGTATGACCTACCTGTAGTATAGTTGGATTAACACAGCTTTTTAAAACTTGCTGCTGTTTTGTAGGTAGTTTTCCAGACAGCAGCATCTGAAACCTTAACTAGGAGTTGCATTAGGTGTGATTATTTTTTTTCTACAATCACTTAATTTAAAATGTTTTAAAAGTGAAAAGGCAGACTGTATTTTACTGCCTACATGAAAAAATAACAGTTATCATACTAGTTTAATCTGCAGTGTAAGGATGTTGTTTCTAAGGCAAAATCTGGTTCACAATGATCTCAGTGGGAATTCTGTCACTGACTTAAATGGAGGAAGTCAGGTCAAAAACTCCAGAACAAACAGAAAAAACAGTTATTTCCAAGGAAAAAATAATCAGGGGAAGGTAGTTGTATGTCCACAACGTTCAAAGGGTATTACAGATGTTAAAGGATTTAAAACACAGAACAGTAGCTTTAGACTGACTTGACCTAAATCCCTTCTTCAAAAATGCTTCTTTTGTAGAAAAAGTCTCTTGTCCACATTTGGAAACTGCTTCTTCTGAACCAGCTTGGGTCTTCATGGCAAAACGGAAACAAAAGGGTTTTCAGGACCACCCTCTTGCCAAAGAACATAAAGCTGAAGACAAAGCTTTGACCAAAGTGGAGGAGGTAGAGTACCAATGTTGCATGGGTGTGAATCCTGGGCCAGGTTGCCTGGGTACTTTTGCACACCATTCAGTATCATCCTCCTGGGAGGCATGTTGTGAGCACTACTCAAAGACAGATTTTCAGGACTGGTGTCTAAAGTGTATTGGGACAGACAGATGATGCATGTGAAGTAGCTCTGTATTTGTAGCAGCTCTCTTCCTTCTTGCCTTCTCCCTCCCACAGTATGTCCCCAGCCATCCTTGTCTGGCTTTTGCTGCATTTCCACAGGCAGGTTTAGAAATGTTGCCAGATCAAGCTTTTTGAGTGCCAGTGGCTAGCAGGTTTCTTAGTTGCATTCTTTTCTTCTATCCTTTTATAGCCAGGGATCTGTGCTAGTGAGAACATACTGAAGAAAAATGTACCATCCAGCTTGAGCTCTCAGGACAAGAAAATGCAAACGAAGACCAGTGTGTCTGCTGCAGCAGGTATTCTCTCTCTTTACATCTTCACACAGTGGCTACAATTTACCTCAGTAAATAAGTGCTGTGGGTGCAAGTACTGAGGGAGACTGCTACCTTTGTGATAATCAGCACACTTGAAACAAGGCCTGTTCAGACTATTGTTTGTGTAGAAGTCAAGATGTTGGCTTGCTCACTCAGCAGAGAAGAAAGTGAGAAACTTTTATCTCCACTGCTGGTTCATGTAATGGCATATAAACAGTATGGTGATTTGCTGCTAGCAAAGGTCAGTACTAAAGAATAGCAGTTGAAGTTGGAGAGTGTCCAGAAGAGAGCAGCAAAACAGGTCAGGTCTTCTAGACCTCCAGTCAGCCAGGAAATACTGATGGGAGTGGAGATGGTTAGTCTAAAGAAGACAACTTAATTTGCTGCAGAGGACAAGACTAGTCTTCATGCCCTGTATGAGCTTAAAATGCACCAGGGGAGGTTTAGCTTAGATATTAGGAAATCCATTATGACAGTAAGAGTGGTGAAATTCAGAATAGCTTATGTTGCTTGTGGAGTGCAGTTTCCATTGCTGGATGAGTTTAATAGATCAGCAAGAATAGTTTAGGTGAACACAGAAGCTCAGTGGCCTCTCTCCTGCCCTGTTAGCTGTGACTCTCTATAAAAGCTGCAGGGGAAGAGTGTGATTCAGACATCATGACTCACATACCTCTTCCAGGGCTACTGCTGGGCTGCAGCTTATCCCTCCCTGCTTACACAGTGTGGTGCCAAACCTCAGAGACACACTCCAGCTAGATACAGATAAACCAGTTCTTCATCTGTAAAAGCACATTGTGCTGGCTGAAAGCTATTGATTTCAGATACTGCCTGAGAAGATAAGAAATGCCCCACAGTGTAAGTGCAGTGGCCTTTCCATTCCAGGTTCCTGCTGCTGACACTCATTAAGAGATGCTGTCTAGAGAGACTGGCCACTTTATAACCCAGCAGCATCCAGAATTGTTGTATTAGAGATATTAGGGGTACCTCTGTGCCTGCTCCCTGCAGTAGTTGTTTATCGAGCTGTTACCCATTTTTGAATCTGCAGAGGCTACAAAATAAGCTTTCTCCCTTACAACAGGTACTGACCAGCTGAGGATGTGCACTAGCATAGAGGCTCTGATGTCAGTTGCCAGCCTAACTGTGGCTGTGTAATTAAAATACAATAGTTTTTGAAAAGGAAAGTGTTACAGACCAGCTTCCTCTTGTGGTTTTAGGTGCAAAGTGAGAGATTAAATGTAAACAGGCCAAGATTTTTGCTCAGATTAGATGGCCTTCTGTTGAAAAGCTGGCACAGACTGAGTTTCTGGTAGAAACCCAGCAGCCTTCAGTCAAAATTCAGAACTCCACAAAGTACTCTGTTATTCATTTACTAGAACTCAGACCACTTGTGGCCTTTGCAGCAGAATTACAAGTTTTTCTGCGTCACCTTTTCCCAAACATTTGCCTAATTTCCTGACATCCAATGACTGTTTTCTCCTCTCCAGAGGAGTTGCATAATCTATTCTACCACTCCATGAATATCGCCAAGAGCTCTGACCAGTGCTGATGTCTAAGGAAAACACTACTGCTCAGAAAACCGTGCCCTATTGCTTAAGAAATGTTCAGCACTGTTCAGCCCAGGAGTAGGAAATTGGGAATCCCAAATGTAAACTTTCCTCTTCTCTGATTTGTTTCTCATTATCACAGACAGCAATTTGGCTAATTTCTTGCTAGTGGTGGAAAGGATGTTGATTTAATCTCCAGAGGAGTTATTAGTTTGGATCATGATTTTTGGCCTATGTTAACTGCTAGCAGTTTTCTTGATGGATGGTTGAGGTTTTCTGTGCAATGCAAACATCCTGCACACAGCAGCAAGAGCCAGGACAGCTCAAGGTCAGCTAAATGTGGAAGAGGATTCCAAGAAATCAGACCCTTACTTCACTGAGTGTAACTGTTTTGTTACTGCTGCGTGACAGTCCATGTCATAACCAAGGAGATGTCACTTACTCTTGCCTCCCACTTCACCCTGAGCATGGTGAGGTTTGTCCCAAAGTCTGTCTTCCCTCAAATAGGCACGAGACCATGAGCCACAGTATTGTTTGGTTGGTTTTTTTTACCATGTGCTGTCAAGAACATGCAGAAGGCCTTCAGCTAACTTTTGTTTATTACAAAGAAGGAAGTCTCTCAAAATATGAAAATTCACTTCCAAAATAAAAATTTCAGTAACACTTACATTTCTACATCACCTTAGATACTTCTGAAAATTTTGCTGGGCATGTTGAGCTGCAGCCTGTTTTTAATGGACAGTGTACTTCCTCCAGGATTTGTAAGTACAGCTCACCTCCTGCAAGAACTACCAGTAGGCCAGGATTTTTAAAAGACCAGAGACCTCCTGAGTGGATTAGGAAACTTCTTCGGCTTTGCTCATTAGTGTGACTAATAGAACTGATGGACATTTGCTATTGATTTCAGTGAAAGCAAGATCAAGCTTCTTGCATTTGACATTGCTTAAGTCCCCATGTGGCAGCTCTTCTTGTGCTGGAGCACAGCAGCCTCATGCCTGCCACATGCCATGCACAGATTAATCAAACAGCAGAAAAAGTCTAAATTTTCTCAGTTTGACTCACACACGAGTGAAGTGCTGCCTGGGTTGAAACGGATGGAGCAAGCACAATGCTGAAAGATTTGTGAACCATTGTCTCAATGAAATGAGAGCTGCATCTGCCCAGAGCTGCCTTCTGTGAAGCCCCATTCCAGGCTGTCTGTCTGAAGACTTTAATCATGAAATTTCTCAAACAAGATGGATGGTGGAGGCCTTTTCTAAACAGTTACTCAAAGCCATACAAGGAGTGTTATCTGTATTCCTCCATCCTTTGTGAGGGTGACAGGCTTGTGTTAGGCTGCATGAACACCTAGCCCCACCAGAATCCAAGTCCAAGAACACAAAGCACTGGTTTGATCCCCACTTAGTATTAAATAATATTGCTGCATCAATATTTGTGCTGGCAGTGAAGACAGAAAAAAGTCTTTGAGACTTCTCAGTGTTGAAAAACATGTACCAGTTACTTTTAACCCCACAGCAAGCCTGATCTTTGCCTTGCAGATATTTTGTTTTCATTTCCCTGCACATTCAGGAGTCTTACTCCTAGATTTTCTTGCACTCTCAGAGCAGAATAAGCCTGTGGAACTCCTTGCTGTACACTGTCATGGAAATTAAGAGTTGGAAATTATTAAGAAATTCGTTAAGAATATGAATTATAAAAATACCTGATGTGATAGTCCCCACATGCTTGAAGAATTTTGAAGAACTTTTTAACTTATCAGGGCTCAGACAGTTGCTGTTGGGAGTGAGGAGAAGATTCTTTCATGGGCAGATTATTCACTTGCAGCTTAGCATCAATTTTTCCATTGCAATAACTAGTCCTCAACACCATTGTAGCTGGACCAGACAGTGCTAGCAATACCCAGTTTAACAATTCCTCTGACTTATTTTTGAGTCACACTCCGGGCTGTGAGATGATTGCTTTAGAGAGAAGGAAATATTATTGGCAGAAATTGAGTTTTTAACTCTCTAGCCTTCCAATGAGTGATGGGTATCTTCTTGTTGGCAGGCAAAGTTGGACCTATTGCTCAGGAAGCATCTGTGATTCCT